TTTCAATTTAAAGCATCATCGTGCAATTCGCCCACGGCCGTACTGACGTGGACGATCTGTAGCAGGAGAAGAGGCAGGAGAAGGCAGCAAAGCAGAAGGTGTCCGACGATGAGGCGGAAAAGGACGAGGAGGAGGAAGAGGAAGAGGAGGCACGACCCCAACGCAGGGGCGGTCTCGCCCGCATGCAGGTCAGGCGCAGGGGCAAGCCTGCAGGTTCGTTTGCGCCCGCTACGCCCTCTTACGCGCGTGCCTTGTTCTACTACTCAGCGTGTCACCATGACCGATCAGTCCAGCTAACGCTCCAATCCATGTGCATGTCTCTCTTCTTACTTGCTGGGCATCAGCTGCCTCTGTAGAGGAGTCCGATGAGGAGGAGGACGCTGGCGCACGCCACAACGAGAGCGCGGACGAAGATGATGTTGCCGATGAGGGTGTCCGGCCCGAGAAGAAGATCGGCGCCAAGAAGCTGGCCAAGCTGCAGCGCAAGGAAGAAGCCAGACAGATCCGACAGGTCTTGCGTCCGTGGCTTGGCGTTAAAGGTGAGAGTTCTGCTGACCTGGCGGTCCTGTGCGTGGTGTGCGTTGTGTTGCGTTGCGTTGCATTGTGTTTCAGGCCGAGGAAGAGAGGAGGGCGCAGCGAAAGGCGAGGGAAGAGCAGGAGGAAGCGGAGCGGCTGAAGCGCAAGCAGGACGAGAAGGAGCAGGAGCGACTGGAGCGCGAGGACGAGGAGCGGCGGAAGAAGGAGCGAGAGGAGCGAGAGCTGGAGGAGTTCAACAAGTGGAAGAGCTCCATCGAGGTCGAGGCCGAGGGCAGCGCCAAGGCCGAGCAGGAGGAGAAGAAGGCCAAGCTGGCATTCTTCGCCGACCACGTCAAGAAGGAGAAGGTGGTCCTTCTCGAGGACCTGGCCATCACCTTCAGCCTTCAGACGCAGGAGGTGATCGACGAGCTCACCAAGGCCGAGGACGAGGGCCGACTCACCGGAGTCATCGACGAGCGAGGCAAGTACATCTACATCAGCCCCGAGGAGATGGACTCTGTGGTATGCTGCCTCTTCTTCTTCTCTTCGTTCACGCCCAGCCCAGAGATCTAACTCCAACTCTGACTCCAACTCCGATTCAGGCCAAGTTCATCAA